CCTCATGTTTAGAAGGTGTCATCATTCTAAGAACGCATAAATGCACAAGGAACTAGGGAGGGGAGCAAAACTAAGATAGATACACCTACCATGCATATTTCTGTGGCAACCAAGTAGCTGAGCCTGTTGAACCATTCCACATACGCTTCCAGGTTCCGTGTCTTCTTTCGATCACCATAGCAGCTCTAAGAAGACAATACCATCCATTAATTCCCCAGATCATGTTTCTGGGTTGGTGGTAGATATTCTAATCCTATAGTGGTACAACTGGCTTAACAAGATGCTTAGGAGCTTAGGCTGTGCTCAAACAAGTTTTACTCAAACTCTCAAAGCTGGGACCCTGTGCTAAAACATATAAGGTAGAAGTCTGACTATGAAATACTTGACTTTGCTGTAAACATAAATTGCAGTACTAACATCTTTGCACCGGTGTAAGAATCTATCTACAGACCTAGTATCACAGGACCACATTGCCCTCTTTTTAAGTAAGCTACTATATCTTTGTGGTCCAACATAGCCCCAGGATAAGTCATGGGCAGTCCTAAACCATGTTCTTCCTGTAACAGTTCCTGGTCACTTATCAATTACCACTCCCAGAATCCCCCCAGCCAGCATGACCAATGAGGGGGATGTTTCTGGAAGCTAAGCTGGAAAAGGCTAACGTTTCCAAGCTCGGCTTCCTTGGCCAATGGACTCATAAACCCCATTTGAGTTTGAATTTGTTCAGTATATAAATAAAAACAAGTACCATATTTTGTAAATTCCCACAATCCCCCCTCCCGCACACAACTGTTTACCTTGTCATTATCCAGTGGATCCTTTTGTACAAATGCTTGGACAAATTCTTGGGGTCCAATGTAATTAAGTCTCTCCTGAAGGAAAGGAAAGAAGAATTCAGTTGTGCATCGCAAGTCCCAAAAATGACACATAACTAACCAAAAAAGATGAACGAATAAATTTGGGAAAATAAAGTGTAAGGAAGAAGGAAGCATCAACTCACTAGCTCTATGTGAGTTAGCTGTTGGGCTAACATGTAGGGGTCACTGCAGACGGTGATGATATCCCGCTGGATGGCCTGGGGTTTGGTCTTCAGAACCGTCAGTCTGTCTGTTGAGGCTGCATTGATTTTTGCAAGTACCTCCTCATACTGACTGAGAGAAGCCAGTTTACGAATGAGACTTTGGATGATTTGCTGTACATTTTTCCTGTACATCTGCTGGAGGAAAAGGAAATAACAGTTTCACTAGAATTCAAATACATAATTTAAATTTTATACAATGCAATATTTTAAAATACAATTATTATTTTTTAAAAATATATATATTAAACAAGAAATAACAAATGTGAAGACAACTGCATATTCAGTAAGAAACATCTACAAACAATCCTCCTTGCACAGGAATTATTTCTGTCAACTTAAGAAAGAAAATTACATACAATCTGAATTTGATTAAAAACTGTCTTCCTCAAAGTCCATGTGTACTGTTAGAAGAGGGCTTCATTTGGCACTACCTGAAACACTTCATCTATGTCCGCATATTGCTCAAAATTAATACTACAGTTGACTTGGGTAGCATTGCCCTTACCTTGTTGTTGTTACTGTTATAAGTTTTCAAATAGTTGACCATAAGATGAACTTATCACAGGCTTCCTTGCCAGGATTTGTACAGAGTATTTGCCATCACTTTCCTCTGAGGCTGAGACCTCCCAGCAGGTTTCCATGGCTGAAGGGGATTTGAACTCTGGTCTCAAAAAAACAATACCATCCTGGCTGTTTTTACTACTTCCATTACTACCTACCAAAAAGCAAAAATTTGTTTTCCTAAAGGGTAGCCTGTGTCAGGAGCATTTGATGAAGTAAGTGACCCAGTGTGGCATAGTGGTTTGAGTATTGGACTAGGACTGGGAGACCAGGGTTCAAATCCCCATTAAGCCATTGAGCATGTTACACTCTCTCAGCCTAAGAGGAAACCAATGGCAAACCTCCTCTGAATAAATCTTGCCAAGAAAGCCCTGTGATAGGATCACTGTAAGATGGAGTTGGCTTGAAGACACATACAGTGGTGCCTCCACATTCGCTAGGGTTAGGGGCACAGGATCCTGTGAAAGTGGAAGAACTGCAAATAACAAAAACACTATGTTTTTACCTGAGAGAACACCTCTCTAGGAATCTCCAGCTCCTCCAATGCAACTGTAGTCAACATCTACCAGACACTGACCATAAAATTGTGCTGGAGGAGCTACGAATGCCTAGTATAGTAATCTCTGTAGGAATCTCTAGATGTCCCTCAGTGCAAATTTTGGTTAAAGTTGACCATAGAGACTATAGACTGGAGGACCTAGATATTCCTAGAGAGATAATACTAATACAATCCATAAATAGTCAAATCCGCAAAAGTCAACTCTGCAAATGTGGAGGGATGACTGTAATAGGGCATTTGATGATGTAGACTTTCATCCACAAGAAGTCTATGCCATAATAAAACCATTCTTCTTTTCAGTGCTACAAGACCCTCAAAACTGCTAAGATGAAGTCTGAAACTTCACTGCTTGATTTCTTGCCATGTTAACTGAATAGTCCCAATTGCCAGCTACAGCCTTTAGGCTAAATCTATTAAGCACCAGTCATGTGAATGGAAATATTCCCCAAAGTAAAAAAAAAAAA